CCTCCTCCTCCTCATCATCATCATCATCACCACCACCACCACCACCATCATCATCATCATCATCACTACCACCACCATCATTATCATCATCATTATTATCATCATCATCATGATCACTGTCATGGACACCATGGGCCACATAATCATCATCATCACCACCAACATCGTCACCATCACCATCACCACCACCACCATCATCATTATCATCATTATCATCATCATCATCGTCATCACCATTATTCTCCTCATCCTCTTCCTCATCAAACTCATCATCACCATCATCATCAACATCATTACCAACATCATCATCACCATCGGAAACAATGTCGTCGTCGCCGTCGTCGCCCGGATGTTCCCAGAGAGATCTCTCGGGCCATCTGGAATACTGCTCTCGACTCTCCACTGAGAGGCGAATCAAACGACCGCTTCTAGCGATAATGATCATCCTCCTCAGATTTCGAATCATCATCGTCGACATCGTACTGGAGGATACCTGGTGGCTACGCACTAACGCACTGGACAATACTTCGTGGCCTCGATTCAATACTGGACGAGACCGTTGGTCGGGGGCAGGATGCTCGGCTACACGAAGGAGTGACCCTGGGTAAGAGTGACATTTGGTGCGCGGCCGTCTGGGGGCCGCGGAAGACCAAACACAAGCGCGCAAGATGCTACCATCGCACCGCGCTCGGCGATCGGGGGTCCCCGGTGGGCCAGCACCAGAGATCACTCCGGCGAAAGATCACTTGTTTGTCAGTTTTAGGTCGGGCAGGTCCTCCTACAGGCGGACTTTGAAAGGTAAAATTGAAAAATGATCAAGCAATATACAAGCATGGCAAAAAGCATAGTCGAAACATCCTCTCATACTATTTTCAAAATTATGTTTGACTATTCCTCCTGCAGAGGGGCATGCCCGAAAAGTATTGTTCTCCAATCAATGCTTGCACTGAGGGGGTCCTAGCGGAAATTGAAAAATTTGGCGAAACAATCCCGCCGATTTTGGCAGCAAACTGGGTTCAAATGTTCCCAGTTCCGGGCTCCCGGGTTCCCGGTCATCGGTTCCGGGCTGATGTTGGTGGGTTCTGGGTTCCCAGGTTCCCGGGTTCCCGGTCGATCTCCTTATCGATCTCTTTATCGACCCCACGATTCATCATCGATCTCATGATCGATCTCACTAGTTATTATCTCACTCGATCGAGCTCACCATCGATCTCATCAAACCTTCCACTGATTGGGTTCTCTCCCTGGTGTAATCTTTGAAACATGTTTTGAATACTCCTCCTGTAGAGGGACATGACCGACCCAAGTCTAGCCGAAGGAGGCGGGATGCGGGAGAGCCGAGACCCATCGGGCTCCCGGCCCCCCTCTCCGCGAGCCACGACCCCCTCTTCCCTGGAAGCGCCCCTTCCCTGGACCGCCGGCCGTCCTGGACCGCCAGGGTCCCCCTGCCCCCCCCCCGGGTCCCAGGAGGCGGAGGAGAAGCAGCAAGGGAGAAGCAGGAGGAGGAGAACGAGGAGGAGGAGGAGGAGGAGGAGCAGGAGGAGGAGGAGGAGGAGAGGGAGGAGGAGGAGAAGGAGGAGGAGGAGGAGGAGGAGGAGGAGGAGGGATGGGGGGGTCGATCTTCGAGTGGCTTCCTGGCAGTCTCTGGGGAGCCTCTGAATGGCATGTGTCAGGCGGCTTGGGAGTCTCGGATGGCCCCGCGGGAGGCCTCTTGGGGGTGTCTTTGAACGGTATGGGAGGAGGAAGGATGGGGGAGAAAATGCTCCCGGAAGCCGCTCTGGGAACATCTGGATGACGACGAGGGCGGCGAGGAGTGTAATGATGAAGAGCTATATTCGGATGTTGCGCCCCAGAAATTCGCGAAGAATGTGTGGCTTCCTGGCGGTCTCTAGGGAGCCTCGCAAGAGCATGCAGGGGGCGTCTTGGGGGTCGGTCTCTTGGGGCCTCTTGGAGCATCTTGGGGGCCTCTCCGGATCGTCTCCAGATATCCATGGGCCCTCTCGAGGCCTCTTGGGGGCTTGTGGAGCCTGTTGGAGGCATCTCTGGAGCTTCCTGGGACCTCTCCGGGACCTCTTGGAAGCCTCTTTGGGCGTCTCTGTGGGCCCTCCGGGCCATCTCTAGACGATCCCGATGTCTCACAGGCTCCTCGGAAGTGGAAAAGCGGACTCTTCAAAATTGCCATGGTTATCCTTAGTTTGTTTGTGGCTTTTGACCTCCTGGTAGCCTTTTGGAAGCCTTTTGCGAGCCTTGGGGACCTTGTCGAACAGTCTTGGGCTGTCTGGAGCCGCCTGGACGCAACATGCTGCCGTCTTGGCGGCCCTGCGAGCCGCATGGAGGTCCCCTTGACCCGTCTTGTCGCTCTTTGGAAACGCTCCCGAGGCCCTGGTCCCCCCATGGAGGCCTGACATCGCTGAGTTGGGCCCCTGGAGCGCCTACCCCGTTGTATATATTTATATGTATGTATACAAGACTGCAGTGGCGCTTCGCGCCATGCACCTTGGTCCTTGAAGATTGGTATGCAGGCGGAAATAGCAGGAAGGTCAAGCGGACAATTTTGCGATAACTCCTTGCTGCCATTTCTGGCATCGACGTTATAATAATGCTGTTCGTTATCCCTCCTCCATGCTTATTTTTCCTCATTCTCGCCATACCCTGGGTATCCTCCCCATCCTCCTCAGCTCTTTTTGCGGAGGCTTCTGGAGGCCTCCTGGGCGTGTTCTAGGGGCCTCTGGGGCTTCCTAAGGCCAACCTGCCTCTAACCGCAGTCTCCCTGAACGCCCCGGTCACGATTTGGATTGCTTCGGAGGGTATCTTGGGGCCATCTTGGGCCGCCATGGGGCTCTCTTAGGGCCATTTTGGACCCCTGTTGTGCCGTTTTGGGGCTCTCTTGGACTGCCTGGAAGCCCTTTCGGATGGCTGCGGGGCGATTTTGAAGCCTCCCAGGCGACTTCGGACGCCCAGAAAACCGCTGTCTTCATGAAGGGGCCGCACCGAGCCGAGAACCGAGAACCGTGACCGAACCGGACCGAACCAGTCCAAAACCAGGAACGTAGAAAACCGAACCGGACCAAACCGAATTCATTCAGAACCGAACCGGCGAGAACCGAACCGAACCAAAACCGGAACCGAACCACCGGAACCGAGCGGCCCCTGAACCGAACCGACGGGAACCGAACCGAACCCCTTTCCCCTCCGGTCCAGACCCCAGGACCCCGATGACCCCCAGGACTCCGGGACCCCGATGACCCCAGAACCTCCCGAATCGACCCCGATGACCCCCAGGACCCCAGGACCCCCCTGGACCCCCGGGACCCCAAGACCCCAGGACCCGAGGGGGGTCGCAGCCCCGAGGGGGGTCGCAGCCCCGAGGGGGGTCGCACCCGCGAGGGGGGTCGCAGCCCCGAGGGGGGTCGCACCCGCGAGGGGGGTCGCACCCGCGAGGGGGGTCGCACCCGCGAGGGGGGTCGCACCCGCGAGGGGGGTTGCAGCCCCGAGGGGGGTCGCACCCGCGAGGGGGGTCGCACCCGCGAGGGGGGTCGCACCCGCGAGGGGGTCGTCGCAGGGGGGTCGCACCCGCGAGGGGGGTCGCACCCGCGAGGGGGGTCGCACCCGCGAGGGGGGTGGGTCGCAGCCCCGAGGGGGTCGCACCCGCGAGGGGGGTCGCACCCGCGAGGGGGGTCGCACCCGCGAGGGGGGTCGCACCCGCGAGGGGGGTCGCAGCCCCGAGGGGGGTCGCACCCGGAGGGGGGTCGCACCCGAGGGCCTCGCGCCTCCACGCTTCCACGTTCCTCCTCCTCCTCCTCCTCCTCCTCCTCGTCGTCCTCCTCCTCCCTCCTCCGCCTCCTCCTCCTCCTCCTCCTCCTCCTCGTCCTCCTCCTCCTCCTCCTCCTCCTCCTCCTCCTCCTCCTCCTCCTCCTCCTCCTCCCCCATCCTCCCTCCCTTTTTCAAACTGGGTCGTCGCTTACGCAGACGGGGCGCCCAACGTCGCACCTGACCAGTCGGGCCGAACCGAACCGGAGCGGCCACTCAAACCGAATCGAACCGGTCGGACCCAACCGCGCGAAAACCGGAACCGAACCGAACCGGCGGCAGGCCCAAGCCGAACCGGCCGAAACCGGACCGATGCCAAACCGAACCGGCCAAGCAAAACCGACCCGGCTGCAGAACCGGACCGAACCGAACCGAGCCGATCCCTTCATGTGTCTTGGAGCGTCGGAAAGCCGAAAAGAGAACCCGAAATTCACCAAAAACCTACATGAAATCGATGATTATTCCCTCTTGGGGCCTTCTTGGGGGTGCTCTTGGAGGCCTCTTGGTACGTTTTGGAGCGATCTTTCGGGGTATGACGGCTTCTTGGCACGCTCTTGTGCTGTCTTGGGGTTCTCTGGGATGTCTCCGATGACCCCCCTGATCGCCCTAGGTGTGCTGCGAAGGCTTGGCAAAGCGCCCTGCAAGGCCCGGGGGGCCGCTTCGAGGTCCGTCCGAAGGGTCCCAAAGCCCCAGATCCCGGGAGTCCGGTTTTGGGGGTGGGGGGGGACGGGTTGCCCGGGCTTGCAAAAATATGGGAAGAGGAATCGATGCAGATATACACAGAACGATATATGTATAGGTGAAGTAACGATGCGTGTGTGTGCGTGTGCGTAGGCAAATATCCATATGCAAGCGTACACATATGTACATGAATATCTAAATGTGTATATGTTGCGTGTGTATGTTAGGTGAGCTAAACTTACATCCAATTATGCACGATGGCAGGCGAAACGTGCTCGATCCTGTTCGGAGCATCGTCTTCGGACATCGGGAGGAGACTCCGCCCTTCGCAGTGCGTCGTGGGGAAGCAAGAGCCCACAAAAACTCATGATCCTCAAGCCTGGAGGGCTTGAAGGGACGACACCCACATCGCCTTCTGGCCAACAAAGGCCGGCAAAACCAAACCTGCCCAACAATGTAACCTTACACTGCCTACTATTCGCGCGCTAGTTTCGCGCGCGAGCGTCCCCTCAATCCCACTTGAAGGAACTGTCCGGGCCGCCAAGTTGGCGCTGCTCCTCAGGACGGGCCGAGGAGAACAGGAAAAGCACAAAAGCCATACCCACAAACTCGCATGACGCCTCCCTGAATGTTTTTATTGGCGCGCCCAAGCTGGGTACGGAGGCAATTGGCACAATACCCGATAACAAATGTTGTCCAAAACCGACGGCGCCCGCTGTTGGGCGGTGACATTTCGTCTCAAGTGGACAACGTCCGCGGCGAGGCCGACATCGAATCCTGTTCAAATGGGCAAGACCTGCTGTCGGCCTTCGTCCCCGTTCTTTCGGTAACCACTTCGATCATACCGAAAATAATTATCAATGCATTTTCCTGGGTTATCTGGCACTCGGCCCGGCCGACCTTAAACTTCTTCAAAGTGTTGTACTCGTCGTGCCTGACCTTGAGCCGCTCGCCGATGTCCCCTGCTAGGCCCTGCAGCTGGCGTAGAGTCTCTTCCGCCTGCAGACCCGCAGGCGTCTGCTGGGTCGCGTGCCGGTTCTCCGCCTTCACAACCTGCACGAATGGCAATGACAGCGATGGTGGTGAGCGCAGTGGCAGTGACATCAGGAGCGGTAGTGGTAGCGGCAGTGGCAGTGGTGGTGGCGATGGAACGTGGAATCGTTTGTAGATGCGATGGTTGTGGATGTTGGTCGTAGTAGGGATTGTGGCAGTGTTAGCGGTAATGGGAATCGTAATCGTAAGTGGCCGTAATGGGGGTAGCAGGTGCAGTGGCAATGAGAATGCCAGTGGTAGTCGTACTTGCGGCTGTGGAAGCAATACTAACACTGACGCTAGACTAACACGTGAGGCAGCCATAGCAATTCAAGGAGGAACAGTGCCGGTGATGGCAATCTCTGCGAGAGCGACCCGCCGACCCTGCCGGAATGTGCGGAAGGGTTTCCTCTAGAGACTACTCCCATCTTCCTTGGGTGACCGCTTGAGGCCCACTCCTCAGGCGCGAAAATCGAAAGAAAATCGGGACATGTCGTAATCGAATTTCCATGTGTTCCCTTCCCCAGGGGCACTAACAAGCAGACGATTCAATCCAAATGGCAATCATTATCGCGTACCATATGTTCCTCAACGTATTGGCATCCCGCATTGACGATTCAGGAAACATCCTGAAGGCCCGGGATGGCCCCAAGACGGCCGACGAACGTTCCAATCAATTCCCCCAAATTCCACATATGGCCTAAAGTTATCTGCAAGTCCGCCCAGGAGGACCTGCGCAGATACCCGGCGCGGCCGAAGAGACGGTGGCAAGTGGGTCCCGAGGCAGCTCCGACGGATTCATGGTGGGTTTGCGCCTGTTTGTGGAATACCAAGTTGGGGAGCGTTGAGGGAATCCCACCAGCCCTCTGGGCGGAGGTGGTTTAGCGAGCTTCCTCTTCCAACACCCCTTCTTACCCTTGAGGGGGAGTTTACCACTGCTCCTCATTCATATATCTATGTCCCTCCCACACCCGACGGGCAACAAACCAGAAACCCCTCTCCCTGGCCACCCCTGTCAACAAAAAGATGCACTATGCACTTTGTGGCACAATATTGGGTCATGTTCGGGGAGCCCGTGAGCATGTTGTATCGTTGTTGGACACGGCGGGTGTGCCATGGCCTGATGTGCAAACAGCCACGATACCTGCCGACAAAAGCAACGTCAGAGTGAGTGTGCCGAATGGCCATTCACGGTCCCTTAGCGCGTTGCTGAAGTGAGGTTCCGTGGTGCGGATTGTTGGTGCTGATGTGGTTGTTGCTGCTGCTGCTGTTGATGTGGTTGCTGCTGTTGCTGCTGAACTCTCACTTCTTAAACTAAGAACAATTACCTATTCTTGATCCCCCCTGCGCGGTGCACATTGTGTTTTTCTATTGACGTGCCCTTCCCGGAGCTCGCACCCTGTTGTTTATTAGGGAAGGTGTTGAGCGTCAGACTGCGCACCTAGCCCCCGAGTTACAGCAACAACGGCTCCCGCCCCATATTTCCGCACACTTTATTCAGAAATCGCGCTCTCGCGCGGGATTCCCTCACAAAGTATGCAGACATCGCGCTCTCGCGTGGGACTCCCTCGCAACTCATTCAGACGCTGCGCCCCTCGGCGCGCAGGAATCACGCTCTCGCTGCAGATTCCTTCACGATTTCTTTAGGAGCCGCGCTGTCGCTGGAGACTTCCTCGCGATTCATGTAGAACGCACGCTGCAGCAACCCGCCTGCTCGACCTGGCCGCCTGGGCCCACCTTCTCGACCCGCCTGTTGGGTTCTACCCACCCGATGTGCCCGTCTGCTTTCGCCACGTGTTTTCTATTCCTAGCCCCCTCTCCTGCTACTCTCTCTCCCTCTCTCTCTCTCTCTCTCTTTTTCGTGTTCCATCCTCCTCCCTCCCCTTTGCCTCTTCCTTCCGTCCGTCCTCTGTTCCCCTGCCATAAGGGTTGCACGAAATACACGTTACAGGTAAGAAGGATATACCCCAAAGGGGGTACAATCGAAGACGAAGAGGGTGGGTCTCGAGGGTTTGGGATGTACGTGTTGAATGGCACGTGACAAGATACGAGCGAACAGTCTGGAACTGATGGTTGGTGTTCTTCTTGGTGTTGCTGTTGCTGTTGTTGTTGCTGCTTTTGTTGTGTTTGTTGATTGTGATGATGTTGATGTTGTTGTTGTTTGTGCTGTTGCTGCTGATGACGTCGTTGTTGTTGTTGTTGTTGTTGTTGTTGTTGTGTTTGCTGTTGTTGTTGTGGTTGTGCTTGTGGAGCTCTCGCTACCGAATAACAGAAATATTGTTGGTCCCCCCCCCGTCCGCGGCACATTGTGTTTCTCGATTGAAATGCCCGTCCCGGGGCTCGCACCCTGCTTCGGACAGGGCGAAGCTTCGGTCTCAGAGTTATGTGTTTGGCTCCCGGTTCGCAGCAACAGCGGTTCCCGCCTGATACTTCCCCACACTGTGTTATCAAATCGCGCTCTCGCGCGGGACTTCCTTGCAATGTATGCAGAAATCGCGCTCTCGCGTGGGAGCTACTTGCAATTCATTCAGACGCCGCGCCCTCGACACTCAGGAATCACACTCTCGCTGCGGATTTGTTCGCGATCTATTTGGGAGTCGCGCTGTCGCTCGAGATTTCCCCGCGATTCATGCAGGACGCACGCTTCAGCAACCCGCCTGTTCGACCTGACCGCCTGGGCCCGCCTTCCCGAACCGATTGCTGCGTGCTACCCACCCGATATGCCCGTCTGGTTCTGCCACGTGTTTTCTGCTCCTAACCCCTTCTCCTGCTATCTGTTGTTTGTTTGTTATTTGTTTGTTCTCTCTCTCTCTCTCTCCCCCCCTCTCTCTCTCTCTCTCTCTTTCTCGTGTTCCATCCTCCTCCCTCCCCCTTCCCCTTTCCTTCAATCCGTCCTCTGTTCCCCTGCCGAAAGGATTGCACGAAATACGCGCTACAAGTAAAAAGGATAGACCCCAAAAGGGAGCGCAATCGAAGACGAGGAGGGTGGGTCTCGAGGGTTTGGGATGTACGTGTTGAATGGCACACGACCAGATACGAGTGAATAGTCTGAAAATGATGGTTTTTGCTGTGGTGTTGCATTCCCACTACTGAAGAATAATTATTGTCGGTCCCCCTCTCCGGTGTCCACTGTCATTTTTCCACATGAAGTGCTTCCCCCAGGGCTCGCACCCTTTCTTATCAGGGGAAGTCACTCGGCTCAAACTGTGCCCCTGGCCGCCGGTTTACGACGACAACATCAACGGCTGCCGCCTTATACTTCCTCACAATGTATTCCCGCATCGCGCTCTCGCGCAGCATTGCCACACAATTTGTGTACGAATCGCGCTCTCGCGGGGGACTTCCTCGCAATTTATTCCGGCGATGCGCCCTCGGCGCTCAGGAATCACGCTGTCGCTTTGGTTTCTCTCACGATGTACTTGGGAACCGCGCTATCGCTCGAAACCTCCTTGCGATTCATGCAGGACCCACGCTTCAGCAATCCGCCTGCTCGACCTGGTCGCCTGGGCCCGCATTCCCGACTTGCGCGCTATGGGTCTGCCCACCCGATCTGCCCGTCTGGTTCTAGCCTTGTTTTCCGCTCCTTGCCCCCCTCCTGCTAATTTCTCTCGTCTTCCGTTGTTTTTCTGCCCCTTCCACCCGTCATTCCTTCCCTTGTTTTAGGGCCTGCGCTAAGTGCACGTGGCAGGTAAGGAAAACATAGCCGCAAGGAGGTACGATCGAAAACGACGAGGGCGGGTACCGAGGGACTGGGGTATACGTATCTATTGGCACGTGAGCAAACAGGAACGAACAGTCTGAAACTGATTGTTGTTCCTAACCATCCTGTGGTGTTGGGTCCTCGTTTTGAAGAGACGTCGCCACGCGTTCCTCCCCCTCCTCCTCCTCCTCTCCTCTCCTCCTCCCCCTCCTCCCCCCTCCTCCCTGCGCTTCACCCACCCAGTGCAGCGTTTCGTGGCCCCATAAGGGAGTTCCACCGAAGGCCCCAATGGCAGCGTTCGCGTGGCGGCCTCGGGCCATTTCGGCACACCCCTCGCGAGGATCGTGGCCCCATAGGGAGCTCCACCGAAGGCGCCAGTGGCAGCGTTCGCATGGCGGCCTCGGGCCATTTCGGCACACCCCTCACGAGGATCGAGGCCCCATAGGGAGCTCCACAGAAGGCCCCAGTGGCAGCGTTCGCATGGCGGCCTCGGGCCATGTCGGCACACCCCTCACGAGGATAGTGGCCCCATAGGGAGCTCCACCGAAGGCGCCAGTGGCAGCGTTCGCATGGCGGCCTCGGGCCATTTCGGCACACCCCTCACGAGGATAGTGGCCCCATAGGGAGCTCCACCGAAGGCGCCAGTGGCAGGGTTCGCATGACGGCTCCGGGCCATTTCGGCACACCCCTCACGAGAATCGCGGCCCCAAAGGGAGCTCCACCGATGGCGCCAGTGGCAGCGTTCGCATGGCGGCCTCGTGCCATTTCGGCACACCCCTCACGAGAATCGTGGCCCCATAGGGAGCTCCACCGCAGGCGCCAGCGGCAGGGTTCGCATGGCGGCCTCGGGCCATTTCGGGCACACTCCTTTGCGAGGACCGTGGCCCCGTAGGGAGCTCCACCGAAGGCCCCAGTGGCAGCGTTCGCATGGCGGCCTCGGGCCATTCCGGCACACCCCTCACGAGGATCGTGGCCCCATAAGAGAGCTCCACCGAAGGCGCCAGTGGCGGCGTTCGCATGGCGGCCTCGGGCCATTTCGGCACACCCCTCGCGAGGATCGTGGCCCCATGGGGGGGCTCCACCGAAGGCGCCAGCGGCAGCGTTCGCATGGCGGCCTCGGGCCATGTCGGCGCGCCCCTCACGAGGACCGTGGCCCCATAGGGAGCTCCGCCGAAGGCGCCAGTGGCAGCGTTCGCATGGCGGCCGCTGTGGATTTCGGCGCGCCCCTCACGGGGATCGCGGCCCCATAGGGAGCTCCACCGAAGGCCCCAGTGGCAGCGTTCGCACGGCGGCCTCGGGCCATTTCGGCACACCCCTCACG